ATTAAGCTTTTCTTAATCTAACTTTAATTTTTATAAAAGTTGATCATGTCAAGCATCTATTTAAGAGGATCTATTTTATTTTTAAGAAAGAAAAATTTATGTCAAATCCAAATATATAGAATATCTCAATAAAATGTACAAATACCTTCAATTAAATATAAACAAGTAAAATTGAATGATGTGGTCAACTTAGTTAACAAAATCATAAATGCTTGATGTGTTAACAGCAACACTAAAGCATTGCTACCAACAAGAGTTAACATCTAAAAGTTGTATACTACTTTCTGACATGTGTTCTTTAAAATGTGAACAAATCTAGTGTCATTTAAAGTAGTATTATTTAAAAGATTACAACTGCATAAGATACTTATGTCCATGCAGAAATGAAGAAAGTAGAATGTATGCTGGTTCACATAATATGAATATAATGTGATATAATACACACACATATTACATATGGATTGAAGACTGGGAAACTCTCACCATTCCAGTGATAATTAGATCTCAACATTGCTTTTTAAAATTTCACCTCTTGAAATAATTTTTTATTCGAAATGGTTAAACGGATCATTAAGTCCCATAAAGGGCTAAAGAAGAGAGTGAATCTTGAGCCACATGATTGAAAGTCAAAATTCCGAGTTTATTCATTTATCATATCATATCTTTGGTAGGTTATTTTTAAGCCCCTTCACTTGCAAGGTAGTGCCAGGCTCTTAGAACCGAGGGGTTATGCATTAGAACACATGGCACTTTCAGTTAGAAATCACCTATTTTTAGTACAGAGTATGTAGTTCATATCTATAGAAATTATATCTATATAATTGTTTAGTCACACCTTTAGTAATAAGTCTATATTTACATGAAGAATCATACAAAAAGTTTTTCTAAATCATGCCCCACCCCTTGCTATTAAAATGAGGAATGAAGATCTAGATCCATAGATGAAATTCACAGATGGGATTTTGTATCTGTGATTGGCAGTCTAAATGAGATTCAGCGTCAGACATGCAGCACCATTGGCAGAGATAAAGCATCAAATGAAAAGTCAGGGGATAATGGCCAGTTGTGCATATCATTATTTTTCTTCTGCTTTCAGGCAGATACACACTGTAGCGGCTGCCACTCACTCTAATTACTAGGCCTGGAGTGACACAGCAGGATATTGCTCTCTGAATTGCTAAGCATCCTTCAGGCAAAGACAATAATTACAATATTCTGATTTCAAAATGATAATATTTTGGGCTCAATACTGTGATATAAGAGGATCAGAATACACAATTAATTTTTAGAACTGCACCATGCCAAATGAAGCATCTTTTTATTGTGCCATTTAGTTACTTCTACCACTTATATCTCATACAGTCATGTATATGCATATTAATGTACAGTATATTTACATGTGCAGTATGTAATTTTAATGTGTATTGGTGTGCATATGTGTATCAAGAAAAATAACGCTTTTAGACTATCCCCGTTACTATTGACTAATTGTTCTCACTTATTAGATGTAATATATCTGGGATCAATTTATTTACTTTTTGCATAGGTAAGGGTGAGAGATAATTAAATGACATAAATTTAATATTTACAACGTTTCTACTTTTGCCTAACATAGTGCTAGTATTTTTATGTACTTTATTTTGTTGAATTCTCACAAAAATTGACTAAGTATGTGTAATTATTTATAAAGCATAATCAAGATGACTGAGTTTCAGACTCCTTCCTTATACCATACACAAAAATCAACTCCAGAGGGATTAAAGACTTAAATGTAAAACTCAAAACTGTAAAAACCCTCGAAGACAATCTAGGCAATACCATTCAGGACATAGGCACAGGTGAAGATTTCATGATGAAAATGCCAAAAGCAATTGCAAGGAAAGCAAATATTGACAAATGGGATCTAATTAAACCAAAGAGCCTCTGCACAGCAAAGGAAACTACCAACAGAGTGAACAGACAGCCTACAGAATGGGAGAAAATTTTTGCATGCATCTGACGAAGTTCCAATATCCAGCATCTATGAGGAACTTAAACGATTCACAAGAAAAACACAACCCCATTAAAAAGTGGTCAAAGGACATGAACAGACACTTTTCAAAAGAAGACATACATGTGGCAAACAATCATATGAAAAAAAGCTCAACACCACTGATCATTAGAGACATGCAAATCAAAACCACAGTAAGATGCCTTCCCACACCAGTCAGAATGGCTATTATTAAAAATTCAAAAATAATAATAACAAATGCTGGCAAGGTTGTGGAGAAACAGGAACACTTATACACTGTTGGTGGGTGTATAAATTAGTTCAACCACATCAAAGACAGTGTGTTGATTCCTCAAAGACCTAAAGACAGAAATACCATCTGACTGAGCAATCCCATTACTGGGTGTATACCCAAAGGAATATAAAGCAGTCTATTATGAAGATACATGCACACATATGTCCATTTCAACATTATTCACAATAGTGAATACACGGAATCAACCCAAATGTCCATCAAATGACAGACTGGATAAAGAAAATGTGTTACATATACACCACAGAACACTATATAGCCATTTAAAAAAGAACAAGATCATGTTCTTTGCAGGGACATGAATGGAGCTGGAGGCCATTATCCTTAGCAAACTACCACAGGAACAGAAAACCAAACACTGCGTGATCTCACTTATAAGTGGGAGCTAAATAATGAGAACACATGGGCAAATAGAGGGGAACAACACACACTGACTGGGGCCTATCAGAGGGTGGAGGGTGGAAGGATGGAGAAAATCAGGAAAAATAATGGGTACTAGGCTTAATACCTGGATGATGAAATAATCTCTACAACAAATCCCCATGACACAAGTTTATCTGTGTAACAAACCTGAACATGTATCCCTGAACTTAAAATCAAAATGTTTTTTAAAAAAAGGATCACTGAGTTTCCAGAAGTTAAATAACTCCCCGGAAGTCAAACAGCTAATATAAGATAAAACTGTGATTCTAGGTGGGTTTTCTTTGCCTTCTAAATCTATGATTTTTCAGATACAAGTTGTTTAAAGCAGGGGACCCCAACCCCTGGGCCACACAGCAGGAGGTGAGCCAAGGGCAAGTGAGCGTTACTGCCTGAGCTACCCCTCCTGTCAGATCAGTGGCAGCGTTAGATTCTCATAGGAGCAAACCCTATTGTGAACTGCTCCTGAGAGGGATCTAGGCTGCCCGCTCCTTATGAGAATCGAACTAACACCTGATGATCTAAGGTGGAGCAGTTTCATTCCGAAACCATCCCCACCACCAGCCCATTTGTGGAAACAATGTCTTCCACAAAACTGGGTCCCTGGTGACAAAAAGGTTGGGGATCGCTGATGATCGACCTAGAGTGGAACTAGACATGTAAAAGAATCACGGTTTCCCTAGTAGTGAGATGTTTGCTATAATATGAAGAGGCTAGTTTTGTTTATTCAAAAGATTTGTCAACGTTAGGAAACCTATTTGATATATATTTTTGAGCCCTTCCTCTGTTCCCATTTAGTTGTATTAAAATGTAATGCACCAATACTGGTTGTTCAACTGGTTGGCTTAAAATTACAGCACTTCTCTGACTTTTCACCTGTTTCAAAAATTTATATCAATGCTAGAATAGTTGTCCTTCTCAACATACAGCATTCATATAGAATTTAGAGGTCACAAACTCTAATGCCTGTAACTTTCAGAACTATGTGTGAACCATATTGAGTGTGAAATAACAGAGAGCGTGGTGCCTGTTGTAAACTGGAGCCTGCAAGTTCCTTGTGAAAGGATTTAGATCCACTTACAAACAAACAACATCTTAACCAAACAAAACACTCAGATATGAATTAATTCAACCCAAGGGATCAAGTATACAACACTGCATGAAAATTAAATGTTGATAGATATTTGAGTACCTTAGAAGTTAGTATATTAACATATTATCAGGATCCCGTTAAATACTATTCTATTTCTTTAATTATTCCTTCTGTGAGCACCACTATTTTCAAAGACAGTGAAGGGGTGCAGGCTCTGATACTTGTCTTCAGAAATACTCCTTTAAACATAAAAGGTATAACGAAACCATGCCTCAAGACCTGTTTCAAGGTCAAATATGGTTATCCCTGTTTTGTAAGTGGGAAAATTAACTCACTGGGGAAACTTAAATGCGCTATAAAAGACTTCTAAGAAATTCAATTACATGCTTTGGAAGTCCAGCACTTCAAAGTTGATATTAGAGATGATAAAGGTTTTAAAGTTCATGAGTTGTTCTTTGGGGAAAAATACTAGAGAAACCATCAAGGTTTTGCAGAGGCACTGCCAGAGTTTCCTAAAGCTCACCCTCAGGTGCGAGAGCCATTGGGGGTGTTGATCTGGCCTTTGTGACTGCCCAGGCATGTCTTCTTCTTCCCTGCCTCCTCTTCGTTTGCCTTCCTGAAGTTGTGATCTCAGGGGATGAGGTTCCTCTTCCAGAACAGAGGCGTAAAGAAGAACCTCTGGGTCAAAGTCGTTGCATGTGGCTCTTTACTCTTTCCTGTAACTTCCATATCCAATCACGATGTCCTGGTGGCCTGTGTGTGTGTGCACTATGCAGAGCTCAGACTGTTTCATGCTTGCTTCAAATGAAAGGCCAAGCTCTGTGGACCACTTTTCTGTCTTCTCTGTCTTTCATTTTGTTTTTGCTATTTCTCCCTGTTCAGCAGCTTCGAGTGAATAGATTGGATTACGAACTGATGCAGACCTTTTTATGCAGACAAAAAAACCCAGGCTTTGTTTAGAAAATGACATTTGTTCTCCAGCTTTCTCCTGAAAACATAAGAGTCTCTCCTTTTTAAAATTTTTCTTTCCACTCAGACACCATGGTAAATATTTCAATTCATTGGGTAGAACTTAGTACGGGCTGTCTTAGGCACAGTCTTTGTTTCAGGGGTTCCTCTGGAGGCTGTTGATGAGGAAATCTCTGGATGCAACCTCAGCTGCATGTGTTACTGTGTTTTCACAGGAGGCGATCGAGATCGGATGACAGCAAATCATGAGAGCTACCTCCTCATGGCAAGCACCCAGAATGATATGGAAGACTGGGTGAAGTCCATCCGCCGAGTCATATGGGGACCTTTTGGAGGAGGTGAGTGTACTTTAAAATCATGGAAAAACAGAAAGGTAGACCAAACCTGTTCATCCCTTTCCCCCAGCGAATGCTACTATTAGCTCCTGTATTCAAGGGGGTGAATGTTAAAATAAATTGTAAATTGTTCAACATTATTTTTAGACATATATCTTTGAAAATCCTGCAGGTTTAATTTAGATCATGTATCATTAATGACGAACCTTCTTCTGTGAATATGTTGAATGATAAAAATTGGTGGGTTTTTTTAGTTTTGCATTTTCCCATGTTACCAACAATACACAGTTATGGGACTCACACTGTAAAACTAGATTAGTTAAGAACAGCTAGACATAAAGTGAGAAATTTATGACTAGTGGTTCTGGAAGATATCCCAGCCCCCAAATGCTCAATTGTATCAAAGAGGAATGCCACAACTTTTGATAATAATCTGATGGTTATTGGAGTAAAAACATGCTTCAGATCAGTTAAGTGTTTGTAAATTTGAAAGTAAGATTTAAAAGGTTTGAGTTAACATCGGATTGAGAATGCACCATGTCAAGAATGAGCTAAAAAGATGCTATGAATAGAATTAAACAAAGGAAGAAAAGATTAAAGATGTGATCTTGGTATGCCAAAAAATAGAAAATAGAATCATATAAACAGAAAACTTATCTAATGAAAATGAGCAAATGGACCAAAAAAAAAAAGCACAAAATTATTTATCTACAACCACAGTATATTTCCAAGAACATAATGCCTAATTTTTATACGGTGATATAGTTAAAAATAAATTGTATTAGGTCAAAGTTACACTTTATAAACAATTACAATCCTTATATTTATTTTCCATTCTTGTGTATATTGTCAGCACTCTGAATTGAGACAGTGATTTTTTTATCTCTAAACATATCAGATGTTTCTTTGACTGACTGACCATTTTATATTTTAAAATAACTTCAGAAGTTTAGTTTTAAAAGTTGGTAAGTTGAAGTTAAAATAGTAAAGATTCATTGAAAACATGATATTTTACTAGATTAATGGCACGTGTTTGTAAAGTGTCTGTTTTAACAGTATCTTCTGTTAGGGAAAGGGAAGGGTCCTAACCAGGATGACCATTCATTCCAATTTCCTTAGTAAGAGCGGTTTACAACCTTTGTCCCAGGCTAATTACTGATCTTGCTACCTTTCACTCCCACGGTATTCGAGTTTGGATGACAACACATACGGTTACCTTATTCATAACCCAAAATGGCTAGCAAGTGACTATGTAAAATACTTGAAAACACCAGCTGAATCCCCTCTCCAGTACCTTAGCAGAGGATTCCTCATAGTTATGCAGTAAGGAGTTCCCCTTTATCCATGGTTTCAGTTGCCACTGGTCAACTGCAGTCTGAAAATATTAAATGGAAAATTCCAGAAATAAACAATTCATAAGATTTAAGTCGCACGTTGTTTTTAGCAGCATGATGCAATCTCATGCTGTCCTTCCCAGGATGTGAATCGTCCAATTGTTCAGTACATTCACGCTGCACACACTACCCGCTGCCCATTAGTAGCCATCTCAGTGATCAGATCAACTGTCACAGTATCACAGTGCTTGTGTTCAAGAAAACCTTGTTTTACTTAATAACTGACCCGAAGTGCAAGAGTAGCTAATATTGGCAATTTGGATATGCCTGCTTGCCTGCCTGCCTGCCTGCCTTCCTTCCTTCCTTCCTTCCTTCCTTCCTTCCTTCCTTCCTTCCTTCCTTCCTTCCTTCCCTTCCCTCCCTCCCTCCCTCCCTCCCTTCCTTCCTTCCCTCCTTCGTCCCTCCTCCCTCCTCCCCACCCTCCTTCCCCTCCTTCCTTCCTTCCTTCCTTCCTTCCTTCCTTCCTTCCTTCCTCCTTCCTTCCTTCCTTCCTTCTTTCCTCCTCCTTCCTCCTTACCTCCCCTTCCTTCCTTGTTTATTTTTATATTGGGTTTCTGTTCAATTGTTTTGGGGCAATTTTTGTAGAAGTGTCTAGTCCAGAATCTGAGATCAGAAGTGATAATTCATTAATAGTGATTTTGTTTTTAGATTTTTGTTGTTGTTGTTGTTTTGAGGCAGAGTCTCCTTCTTCCTTCCTTCCTTCCTTCCTTCCTTCCTTCCTTCCTTCCTTCCTTCCTTCCTTCCTTCTTTCCTCCTCCTTCCCTCCTTACCTCCCTTCCTTCCTTGTTTATTTTTATATTGGGTTTCTGTTCAATTGTTTTTGAGGCAATTTTTATGAAAGTGTCTAGTCCAGAATCTGAGATCTGAGGAGAGTGATAATTCATTAATAGTGATTTTGTTTTTCGTTTTTTTGTTGTTGTTGTTGTTTTTTGAGACGAAGTCTCCTTCTGTTGCCCATGCTAGAGTGCAATGGCACAATCTCAGTTCACTGCAACCTCTGCCTCCCTGGTTCCAGTGATTTTCCTGCCTCAACCTCCCCAGTAGCTGATATTACAGTCGCCTGCCACCACATCCAGCTAATTTTTTTGTATTTTTAGTGGCGATGGGGTTTCACCATGTTGACCAGGCTGGTCTCAACCTTAGGTGACCCACCCGCCTCAGCCTCCCAGAGTGCTGGGATTACAGGTGTGAGCCATCGCGCCCAGCCCAATAGTTCTTGTAGCTCTGATTGCTTAGCTACTGATTGTTAGCTCTGATTGTTAGCTACTACTAAAATCAGATCTTTCCCGTATATTTCTGCCTCCTAATGAAAAGAGTTGATTCAGAGACCCAGCAAGGCAATAAGAATACTATTTGTTAATAATCCTTACGATGAACAATTGGCATGTAGGCAAACAGAGGTCAATTAAGAGGTAACGTGTTCTTGCTTAGCCACAGACCAAGTGCACAATCTTGGATATGTAGTTTTACTTCCCTTACCTTTGGTTTTACTCACTTGTGAAATAAGAAAATTAGAAGAAAAAAATACTTTCACTTCCCAGCTCCAAAATCCTGTGATTACAGGAGTTCTTTGTAGATCAGTGCTCAGGTCAGTGGATTTTTCTGTTGGCTGAAGTGCTTGAAGAGCAGCACTGTTTCTCTTGGTGGTGCTGAGTTACACTTTGTGGTCCTTTATTTTCTTAGCAGTGTGCTGTGACACAGAAGGTAAAATACCATTTGAACAACAGGGCAGAACTAAATAATAATAATCCTTTCAATGACAAAAGATGACCTACATGGGTATGCTAGTCAGAGTAATGATGTTTTTAATGGAAGAACCTTTTTAACACTCCTCATGGTCTTGTAAAGCTTCTGCCGAATGTCTGGGAAGGAACACAGTGGCCTTGGGGGTCAGCTGGGGTTAAGGCACCAACATCCAAATCAGTTCATGGAACAGCCAGGTGGATGAATGATTAACCCAGCAAGTAAATTGTCCAGTGAGTAGGACTGAGAGGCTTGGTGGACATGGGGGCTGGGGTGCAGAAGGTATGTGCAAGAGCATGGACGAATGCTGAAAACAGAATTGGTTTGCAAACTATGCCTGGAGAAATATATATGTGTGTGTAAATACACCCACACAAATACGTGTTGATGTTTTTGCAGCTTTACCCACAGACTCTTTGCCACTGGATTTTAAATACTTTTCTGTTTTAGGGACATACACATACACATGCATAAATACGTTTTCAGGGTATGCATGTTAAATCAGTGCTCACAAATGAATTCACTTACAAATGATTTGGAAAAAAAGTAAAACTTGTATGGGAAGAGAATAAATGCAGGTATGAAGGGGCAAAAAGTTTACCCCCTAGGGGTTGGTTTGGTGCCCTGTGATTTCTGGAGGGGCTGAGCCAGCCAGCTGTAAAAGTGTTACACAAGACAAGAGCTGGGAAGTCGACACAAAGTCAAAAGAAAAAGAAAGGGGTTCACACCGCAGCGTGGCATTCTCCCTCCTCCCCTCATCCTGTTGTGACTGCACCTGCTGCATGTGACCGGCGGGCACTGGAAGCAGCCGCAGCCACACAGCCTTGGTGAGGAGCCACCGCAGCCCTGCCAGCTCCCTCCCAGCTCTCATTGAGAAAAGGGGAGACGGGAGCAGGAGGAGGGGGAGGAGACGCTCCCTGCAAAGCTGCCTCCCCCTGCAGATCCAAGGAGCCTCTTGGAATGGGCACTCGACTGTTCTGACGTGGTGATTCCCTCAGGAGTTTGAAGACAGAAAGGAAAGGGGAGAAGCCTGCAGAGAGCATCAAAGGATGAGGGGTGCTATAAAAGGAGCAGGGGAGTCCTTTGAAAGAAATCTATCATGCACTGAAATGCTTTCTGGAGAAGGTGCCATTATTTTCCTCCCCTCTTGCTCAGATGAAAGGAGCCAGCAAGGACAGTCCTGAAATTTTCCTCAGGGGCCTTTTTGTCATTGTTCCTCTTTCCTCTTGCACAGGGCTATTTGCTGACCTTTCCAGAGGAATCTCAGTCCAGCTGAGAAGACAGTTCTTAATAAAAACAAAAAAATACAAAAACCAATTCCTGCTGTTTGAATGAGAATGGTAGCTTGCTTGCTGCAGTTCTTTCCCTTTTGGAATGTCTGCAGAAACTTAAAAAAAAAAAACAAAAAAAAACCTTAAAAACTCCCTGGATTAGGCAAGAGAAAAGGAAGTATTTTTGCTAAAAAGGAATAAATGAGAGGTGGTAACTTATCCCTAAGCCAGGACCTGGATGATCAAAACCTTCAAGTTCTAGGAATCAGCACTTCAAAAATAACAAATAAACAAGCATGAGGAGTGACTGTGGGGTTTCGCTCAGAGGCAGGTTTTAAAGGAAGCCAAAACCGGGTTCAGAACTTCGGGCCTATATGATGCCTGAAGACCGGAATTCTGGGGGGCGCCCCGCTGGTGCCTTAGCCTCAACTCCTTTCATCCCTAAAACTACGTACAGAAGAATCAAACGGTGTTTTAGTTTTCGGAAAGGTAGGTAGATGATATGATCATGTCCTTTTTATAAATACAAATAATATTCATATTCTCTTAGGTTTTAAGGTCTGTTTATGCTCAGATAAAATGGGAGTTTGGAAAC